CTATGGTGAATTTGTTACTGGTGAATAAGTTCATCTCAAGTGTATTAACAAGGCAAACATTAGTATGTATTCCTTAAAAAAAAGTGGACGTCGCATACGCTTTCATTCATTTCTTACTTAGGAGTATAAACTTCAACATATTTTTTCAATTCTATTACGACTTATGACTGAAACACCTGTAATTTTCGCATATTAAATTGTATAGCAGCCTTTTTTCTGCATTTCATTTGAAATATGCTGTCATCAAAATTATCAATTGACAATAAAAGCATTTTTCTGGTTATCTGAAACTGGCTAAAACTAATTTCATCATATCTCGTTTCGTATATTTGCTAATGGAAAACGAGTGGAAAAGATATCAGCACGTGAATCACTTGACGACTTTCGGAAACTAGGTCGAAATTATTATCTTATACTTAATATATCAGTTTTTGAATATTTCAGCATTGAACTCCTCATGAAATCGATATTCACTGACAACTTAATAGCAAGCTGATTTCGAAGTCAATATTATGCAAAGGATATTGCGAAGGAGACATTAGATAAAGTGAGTTATGCCTGCCCTTCCTGTCATAAACTCGTCGAATTTTTTTGTATGAACCCAATTCCACTGATCGTTTTCAGGGTAATGATGGAACGGGAGAAAATTGGGTTGATGTAGAAATTTCTCAGATGTAATTTGTGGCAATAGTTCCCCCAAAGTGATCTTGAGTGCCACTGCGATTGAAATGAAATTTTCATGGCCTATCTTACTCAAATAACTTTTATATTAAATAACTTTCTGGTAGAAAATATCCATTATGAGATGCATCTGTGAAAGGGTTCTCAATTTTTATTGGATCCTTTGAAATGATAATAATTATCTCCAATAATAATGTTGACATCAAAGAGCCGTGAAAAGGTAACCGAAGTTATGTCTGTTGACTAAGAAGCTGTATGATTGAAGTTATAAATTGACTAATAAACGCTGAATAAGAGCATCTGATGATTTGAATGCCGCCAGTTGAATGTTATTCTATATCATCAGTTTTCACAAATGTTTCAAAATGAGACAAACGATTGTAAACTTGATTTACAATGCACACAGATTGAGTCGTAAAGAGCTCTGAAAGTATTATATCAACTTATTATTAGGTATGTTGTGAAATCACAGAATCTAACATATTCCAAGTTTCAAATATATAGTAGAAGAAACGCAAATATGTTGTAGGAAATTGAATTTGGTACATATCGAAGTGCTTCGAAAGAATACAGGGTGTAACTAAATAAGTGTAAAACATTTAAGGAGGCGATTCCTCATTGAAAAAAAAAAGGATCTTTCATACAAAGAAATTTCATTGGAGCATCCCTTGTTATGATACAGCCCCCTAAAGGGGGTACATAAAATTTGTATTAAATTTTTTTTCACAAGCACTAAAAAAGTTACAATATTGAAATTAACCTGACGTTTTGTACTGCCAAAAAGACACTCAGCCAGAAATGAATTTGGTTTACCCCATGGTTGTAAGAGGTGGAAAACTCAACCCCTAAAATGTATTTCCAATATAACTTTTTGTCTTATTATTTGTTTACCATTTAAAAATTCATTTCCGATGGCCTGTTTCATTCTAAATAAAACATTACTCTTAGGTTTTTTGCCCAAAATAAACCAGTTTGCAGCAAAAAATTATTTTGCGAACAACTACAGAGATACATCATCATGAATGCGAAAATACCGAAACTAATTTATCTAGTAGGTCGCTATTAGTGGAAGTGACAATTAAATTGGTATGACACTGTCAGTTTGTGAATTTTTGAAATTGAATTAATACTAATTGTGTGTTGTTGTTCTGTTCTTAATTTGTTACTTTAATTACTTGTCATTAAAATGGCATATACAAATGAGAAAATGGCTGATATGCATTACGTTTACGATCTGTCGCAGGGGAATGGGTTAGAAGCTTCTAGAAGATATGCTAAAATGTATCCTCAACGGCAGCATCCTTCACATAGAATATTTACTCGACTTCATCAACGATTACGAGAATTCAATTCAATTCAATTCAATATGGTTCATTCGACAAAAGAACGCAGGATTGTGGTCGCCATCGAGAAATATGAACACCACAGCTTGAGGAAACAGTACTTAATTTGATTGAAGAACAACCTACTTTCAGTACTAGAAAGATTGTTCTCCAGCTAAATGTTGATCATATGACGGTATTTCGAATTTTAAAAGAACAACTCTTATACCCTTACCATCTGCAACGAGTACAGGCACTGTTACCGCGAGACTTTTCGAACCGAATTGTGACTTTCTGAAGACGATAGAATTCACAGACGAATATAGTTTTTCTCGGGACAAGATTATCAATTTTCATAATTACCACATATGGGCTGATGAAAACCCTCACGCTATTGTCGAAACTAACCATCAAGTACAGTTTACTCTCAACGTGTGGCTCGGAGTTATTGGGGATGATTTAATTGGGCCTCATTTTCTACCTCCTCGATCAAATGGTGAGGCATACGTTCAATTTTTAAGAGAAGTGCATTCAGGAAGTTCCTTTGGGCGTCAGAAGGGATATGTTTTTTATGCATAATGGGGCCCCCGCCCATTTTAGTCAAGTAGCATGTCAGCATTTAACTGAAACATATGCAAGTCAGTGCATAGGTCGAGAAGGACCACAGAACTGGTCTGCTCGATCCCCGGATCTCAATCCTCTCGATTCCTCTATTTGGGGCCATTTACAGCATTTGGTTTATCGTACTCCTGTTCGCGATGTAGAGGACCTAAAAAACCGCATTATCGATGCGTGCAGGGTAATCAGACATACTCCAGGAATAGTATTTGAGCAAATACGTGGGTCAATGCGCCGACGTCTAGACGCATGCGTAATGTCTGAATGTTGTAAAACGTCAGGTTAATTTCAATATTATAAATTTTTCAGTGCTTGTGAAAAAAATTGTTATACAAATTTTAAGTACCCCCTTTAAAGGGATGTATCTTAACAAGGGATGCTCAAATGAAGTTTCTTCATATGAAAGATCCTATCTTTTTTCCAATGAAAAATCACCTCCTTGAATGTTTTACACTTATTCAGTTACATCCTTGTAGAACGATATACCTGCTATTCTGAAAAAATCTCGTAATTCTCGTAAAAAATAAAGAAACACTGAGACGTTTATATTTTTTCAAACAATAGTAGATGGAGCTGAATTTTCCGCAATTGTCATGACATTCAAATGGAACCTTGTGGAACACATAACTAGAGGTAGGTGTGTTTAGGAGTGGGAGTGGGAGAGAGAAACGCGTGACGTAATCGATGCAGGATGGAACGAGTAGAGGTATCTCTGGACATCTATGTGTATGTATGTTTATATTCCACCTCTAACAGAAAACTTACATAAGAAGTGAAGTCTCGCATATGAAGCTCACTTGGTGAACTGTATTGAGAGGCTGAAAAATCCTTACAACCTATCAGATTCCTAAATCTACTGCTGCTTTCTGCAATTGCAAAAAAAATTTATTGGATCCCATTTCATACCACACGTGAAGATATATGTATATAGTAGTTTACCAGTTTTACACCTGTGATGCACTGTTTCGAACCTTCGGTGAAATAATCAATATTATTGGAGTTATTCCCCAACACAAAACCGTTATTTTAATACCTCGACATGTGTTTCGATCACCAAGTAGTCATCTTCAAGAGGAATATTAAACTAAATATACTAACAATGTTATCCAAATTTATACCATAGATACCTCTTCTGGGTATCTGCGTCTTGAGTGTCCCGAATTAATTTCACAATATTGCCTTATCTACTAGTCTCTGTATCTGTAGAGTAGGGAGGGTGAGTGTAAGCCCACGCACTTAGGCCACATGTGACCCATTGTACATCCTCCCAAGGAGTTGTCCTCCTAGGTCGTCGTCCATCCTGTCCTTTCCAGGAAGGTGGACAGGTCGCTGGGAGACATCTCCTTTATTTGACATTGCGACTTTGATCCGGTCACTGTACTAAGGTAAAATGCACAGCATGCAATAGGTGCCAAGTTTGCGTATTTGGAGACTGTTTTATATTCTATATCCTGTGATCGGATCAATTTCGATGTCTATGAACTTGAAATATTAAAAGATGGAATTCTGAATACTGAGTGTTTTTGTGTTAAAATATTGAAGTGAGGTTGGAACATCTTTCAATTCATGTACCTACTTACTTAAATGAATCTGAGTTATTTGATAACTTTCTATATTTGACAATATTCATGTGATTTGACTTTTCCATTTGAGTTGACGTAGATTTTTCCCGAGTCAGTCCATGTGTTTCTGAGAGAAAAAATTTTTTCTATAACTTTGTTGAGAATTCCGACTCTCGTGCTGGTGAGGTCTTCGCGGATAACTATTCTCGTACCTTTTAGCAATCTTTTCTTCGTATGAATCATTTGCTTAATGAAATAATCACTGAGTTTTACGAATATTCCTCGAATTTCAGTTTCAGGTTCCTTTTTCCCTATTCTGTAGCAAATAATTATGTCAGTATCTTTCAACTTGATAGACATTTTTGAATTTAGGAACTTGATCAATTCTTCTTTCAGGCTTTCCTTCGGTTTCTCTTCATAGTTGAACACACGAATATTATTTTTCTTCATTTCCTGCTCTATGCTGTCGTATTTTCTTTCCATAATTTGTTTTTCAGAGTTCATGGTTTCTATAACGCTGTGTAGATTGTTTATTTCCTCATTGGCATTCTTCTTGAAGTAAATGAACTCGTTTTTCAATTCATGAACATTTTTTTCAATCTCCTTCAGTTTTTGTTCAATAGAATTTGCGACTGCTTCGGCGACACTATCTGCTATGTTTTTCATGAATGTTTTGTCCTTGAGGAGATTCAACATTGTATCGTTTACAGATGATTTTATTTCTTCTGATAAATCCCATGTTAAAAACATTTTCGATGGACAAAAATGTGTTGTATTTACTGTTGCGTAGTTTTCATAGGAAAATTCACAAATAGAAATGGGTATATAACACTTCATAAACTATTGAATTTTTGGTCGTTTTATGGAAGCGACATAGATGTACGTCTACTCACGGCACATTCGAATCCGAACCGCATCCTCATAGTTTTCTTCTGAACAACTGGTGCATATGTTTGATCGAAATCAATTCCAGGATTTGGAGTATTTCCTAGTGCAACAACTCTGGCCTTGAATTTTTCTAACCGTCCATTCTTATTATACTTTGTTTTAAAAACCAATTTCGTTTTGATTGTTCTGGTATCGTCTGCTCGCTTTACAAAATTCCATGTATTATTTTTAATGAAATTAGCAAAATTTTGAACAATAGCATCTTGCCAATTTAATCGGTTATTTCTAACAGAGGCATCACTGTTAGATTGACTAGATCATGTTGTCTTTCTTCCATCGTTCTAAAATTTTTAGCTTTGTTAGAAAATTTTCATTTACATGGTTCTTCGTCGACTATGTAGTCTGACATCCAATTAGGTTTCTTCGAAAATCGTCTTCTTCAAATTAAACGTCTCTGCTAATGAAGATTTTTTCCTTTCTTGTATCCCACAGTCTGTATGCCTTAAAATTGCTATCGTAGCCCAAAAATATGCAGTTTATATCTTTAGGAGTGAATTTACTTGTTCTTGTTTGATTCACTGTCCAAACTCTGCATCCAAATACCCATAAATGAGATTTATCAACGGAGATCATCGGTTTCCATTTTTGTATTGGGCTTTCTCCCTGGTTAGCAATTATTGCATAGCGATTTCTAACATAGCTTCTGCCCAAATTTTTTTAGTTAAACGTGATTCGGTCATCATACATCTTGCTACGTCGAACAATGTTTGATTGATCCTCTCTGCCACTCCATTTTTTTGCGGTGTCCCTGGAATGCTTAACTGATGTTGAATACCATATTTTTGCAAATATTCTTTGAATACATTTGACAAATATTAGCCACCATTGTCACTTCGTAAACAGCAAATATTTTTCCCATGTACATTTTCCGCTCTCTGTTTATATATTCTTTGAATTTAATGAAAACATTTCTGTTCTTCATAGAACCAATCTCAAAATATCTTGAATATTCATCTATGAATGTGACAATGTATCTGTTATCACCTAATAAAGCTGGTTTCACAAGGCCTACTACTTCTGAATATATAGGTTTCAAAGGGGTTTCTTCTCTATTGAGACTTCGTTTTGGAAATAGATTTTGCCTCAGCTTTCCTTGATAGCAAATGATACAATTGTCTTCGATTTCATTACCATCATCAGAGTTTTGTATATTTTTGTCCTCTGAGCATTTTCTTGTCATAATTGATTTTGTTTAAAAATGGCTTCATTTGCAGAAATATTAGCAAATGAATCATGTTGCTCCGTATTAGCACTCCTCTCTTTTATGTAAAATAATACGTTGATTTTGAAGTTGAAGCTTCTGATTTTTCCAACTATTCGGAAGATATGTCTTGTTTCGTTTATTTTGCTGTAGACAAATGACACTTTTTTCCAATGTGACCTACCTTCAGACATCTACAGCACCTCAAATGTATGTATAATTAACTGGGTTTTGTTATATCAGTAGAATCTTCTCTATTCCGGTTCAAGCCTGCTCTGTTGAATGGCTTTCCACGACTAGGTTTGAAATTTCCACTTTTAAAATTCCATATGTGTCTTTCGCGTCGCAAATGTTTCAACTTCATCTTTTTCTTTATGTCCATTCAGCTTACTTTCGATTCGTTTTCCATCTTCTAGCAGCTTTGACTTCAAATTGCACATATTCAGGTCATCTTCATCGGCTCTCAGATTTCTTGCTAAGTGCTCATATTGATCAGGTGAACCTAATACCGTGAATCCTGCTTGAATTTTCCCGTTAAACTCATACTCATACTCAGCATTTTTAAGTTTATGATATAACCCGTTTCGTCTATTCAGGTACTGATTGATCGTCTCGTCTGAGCTCTTGGTGGTATTCATAAAATCTTTGAGTAACAGTAAGCCATGCCAAGTATCAAATTTAGTATGGCTTTTCTTCAAAGTATTCCATATGTCTTTAGCTGTCATTCATCAAGATTGTCATTATTCACCATAGATAAAGAACATATTCTGCACTATGATCTTTTTTCCTGTTTTCTTCAACTCTAATTTCATTTTCGTCAAAACCAGGATCAACAGCTTGCCACAGATTTTAACTTCCAGGATTCCTTGCACCCTCATCGACCAATATCGATAATTCTCGGAATTCAGTTTTTCCTCTTCTGAGTCGTCCATGCTGATTGTCAATGAATTCACCTCTGCGTCTAAATTGCCTTGTCGCCCCGGATCGCCAATTAATTTTTATTGTTGTTTTATGATATCATGATTTGTATTTCAAAATAAATTATAGATTAATTGTAAATAAAATATAAATTCATTCATTCCTACCAATAAACTGAAATAAAAGGTCACAAACATTTCTTTATTTTTCAGAAAAACAGTTCAAATGAACATATTTCAACATATCTACGGAACAAAACCTTGATTGCCAAATTTGACTAAGAAATATATCACTGAATGTTAACATTTGAATAGTCTCCACTAAAAATAAAAATCAAATTAAAAATATGAAGAACACATTATTAAATGTTACCTCTACGAAAAATTTGATGTTAACTACTGAACGTGAAATATAATTGAAGTTCAGTTTTATTGAATTTTAAGAAAAATGAACAATACTGAGGTGAGGTGAACATCATCGGAAATATTATTCTCATACTGGGCTACACATATCACTTTAAGAAACGAACCATGTAGGAAAATCAGGAATTTAAAAATTGAGGTAGATAAGCCTTCTCCAGGGAATTCCAATTTCCAAGCTACTCACAATTTCAGTGTAATATAGCAGTAAATCATCCTATCTAGACATGCATTTAGTGAAGTCATATGTGTGCTTACAACTAAACTGTTGCCACACCATAACAAGGACTCAATTATCGAAACAATTTGGTAGTTAGTGAAAATCGATAATTTTTAATATTCAGGTATATTGGATTCTGGAGAACTAAAAATGTGTTTCCATTAACCTGGCCATAATTCTCAAAGTATTTTTGACGTTTTTATGCATGAAAGCTATAAAAATATCAATACTGAGTTGAGAGCGTACTGAAATGAAGTAAAGGAACGTTTTCAATTTTATTTGATGTTATATGTGTGATAAAAAATAGCCAAAACCAATTAAATAATGAATATTATGTTTTTCATACCTATAAAAATATCAATACTGAGTTGTTGGCATAACTAAAATGGAATAAAGGAAGAACATTTTTAGTTTTAGGTTAAAATGAATTGAATAAATGTATTCATAACCAGTATTAGGTTTTCTATTCTCATTTTTGTAGCTTCTTATTTAGAACCAATAATTTGAAATTGGACTTGAATATGAAAATTACCAAAAACAAATTCTAAATCAGAATGTTGCGTTAAAATAAAATTCGGTGGTATATGTAGGGTCAAAAATTAAATATCTGCTTTCAGAAAAGTTATCATATTGAGTGTGTGTTTTTTTTCCGGGTTTTGATCCGGGTTCTTATTTTGGTCTTCTCTGGGACTGATTTGTGATGTGAAATTAGTCCCAGTGAGGACAAAAACACAGAACACAAATCAAAACCCAAAAAAGTTCGTCATACTCTATCCGTGGTGAGAATCTTACAGTTACCAAGCTAACACGAATCAAAACCCGAAAAAAGTGTTCTTCATGCTATATCCGAGAGGATCTTTGGGGGCTTTCATACAATTGTTACAAGGAATGTTATAAATCACATTTGACTTTTTTGTTGTATCCGTTTTATCTTTCAATGTAGTATTCAAATTCTTTATAGTTTTAATACTTGACAGTGCCTTAAGGATTTTCCTGTGGTGCTTGTATTTTGTCTTTGAAAAAAAACCTATATAGTAACAATTAGTCTCGAGCAACGTCAGTCTGATTCCGAACACCAAGGAAACATCACCAGTGGGAAGCAAATGAGACTTAGCCGAAACGTCGTGAAATTAGTCCCATTGACATACTCTATACGAGACAATCTTAGAGTTATTATATATATGGCAAAGTCTCATTTACCATCTTCTGTGATATCCAGAGACTTTGCCGAAACATCGTGAAAATGGTCCTTGTGAGGATCAAAATTTTTGTTTCATTAACAGATTTTTATTATTATTATTTGTGTACTTCAAATAAAAATAAATTGCGTGTGTTGAACTCTGAAATTTAGGAGTTATCCAAGAAAAGAATATCTCTGCTCTGAATGTTTTAAAGTCATATATTTGTGATTTGGTTTGAATTTGGTTGACAATATGGAAGGAAAAATTAAAATGAAAGTGAATAAGTTATCAAGATTATTAACTATACTGAATATAACGCCCCTAAACATTCGGATAAGATAGTGAATTCAGTAATACTGTCAAAAATGAGAAAAAATAATAAAATAGATAATGAACAATATAAGAACGTTTATTTTTGAAAAAAACGAATTATTCTGATCTGAAATAATCTCTTTTACAATCTACTCAAGAGTATCATATATACAAAAATACGTGACAAACTAGTTTTAGGGTATTCAATAATTACAATGAATGTTTTTATTTACGTACTGAAAAAAAAAGTTATTTGAAAATTCGTCATTGAAACTCTACATAAAGTAACGATAAAGGGCAGGGTTCAACTCCCAACCGAGGAAAGGAGTTAGTTGTTCTTCCACTCAACCCACACTTACATTTTTTTGTTCTATTATATGCATCACTATTTCTCATTTCTTATATTATCATTTCCATTTTATGGTACGTTTATTTTCAATTAATAAGTTCAATATTTCGTTTCTTTGAATTTTATTTTATTTTTTTTTTATTTCAAAGATGTTATCAACTTTTCAGGTAATGAAAGTCTGAACCTCTCACATATATCTGTGAGGCTATACTGACTTGTGACAGAGCAATATCTTTTGTTAGTCGCTCCGTAGGTGGAACTAACATGGCAGAT